TGTTTTAAGCCTTCCTTTTCTTAATACAAGACCTAAATGAGTGGGGAAATGTACTAATCTGGGAATCCGGTATCTGTGCCTGAGGCAGGCACTGGGTGGACAGTGCCCTAAATTAGGCTGGATTCAGTGGCAGGTTTAGAGGCATAGCACCCAAGGGGAGCCCAGATGCTTCAAACAAAAGCTTTGCAAGTTCATGCTTATAAAGTAATGCTTTGGCCATGCTTCCCCTTTCCCTGCTGTTGCAGCTGCTATAAATGTTATCACAGGGGCGCCTGGGGGGCTCAGTCAGTTAAGCGTCTGCCTTCGGTTCAGGTCATGATCCCAGGGTCCTGGGATGGAGCCCTGAGTCGGGCTCCCTGCTGCTTCCCCTGCTTGTGCTCTCTCACTCATTCTCAATCTCTCTCTCTCTTAAATAAATAAATAAAAATATTTAAAAAACAAAAATAAAATCACAAAATCTTCCTAAAAATCACCCTTAGAAACTTTTTTCCCCTCAGAAACTAATCTAATACCCAAAGTTACTTTAAGAAAAAGTTAAAGAAGTCAATATGGCTATATAGAGAAATAATATTTATTGAGCTCAACTGTGTACCAGGCATGGTGGTACTCTCTCCTATATGCATTATGCAACATTTCCCAGAATGTTTTCTGTGGAAATAGCCCAGAATGACGTGCAAAATGTGGTCTTTTGGGAAACCCTACGGACAGTATATCCTCCCAGTATATCTCCAATATTATGTTTGTATATGGACGATTCTTTTAAGTCCCACAGTAAAGAAACTGTTTATATTTCTTTAACTCGGTATATCTCAAAGTGTGGAATATATGTGAATGGGTAATGAATGAGATGAATTTAGAAAGTGCATAAATGTAAGTTTTAAATTTCAATGGTTATATATATTTATCATATAATACAACTGACAGATCAAACCTGTGACTCCACCTACATTCTTCAGGACACATTCATTCATTCATTCATTTCACACACATTTACTGAGGACCTGTATTCTAGACACTGAGAATAGAGCAATAAATAAAATAAAGTCCCTACTCTCAAAAATTTATATTTTATTGGGGAGCAACGAAAACTCAAACAAATAAACACATTGAACAAATATAAATATATGTTCAACAGTAAAAGGTAGAATAAAGAAAAAGAGTTGTTCAGGGGGACAGAATGATGGGGGGGTACTAATAGAGATGGTTTGGTCAGGGAAGACCTCTTTGATAAAGTTAACATTTGAGTGGAGAGGTAGCCAAAGTGAGAATACATTTCTGAAGGAAGCACGTTCTAGGCAGAGAGAATACCAAATGCAAAGCCCCTGAGGTGGGAATATGCTTGGTTCCTGGTGAACTATTCAAAGTTTCAGGGCTGCAGATGAACCCCTGAAGGATGGTGCTTTTAAAAATTAAGATACAATTAAAATACCATAATATTCACCCTTTTTTTTTTATAGATTTTTATTTATTTATTGGACAGAGAGAGACACAAAGAGAGAGGGAACAGAAGCAGCGGGAGAAGAAGAGGGAGAAGCAGGCTTCCCGCTGAGCAGGGAGCCCGATGTGGGGCTCGATCCCAGGACCCTGAGATCATGACCTGAGCTGAAAGCAGACGCTTAACGACTGAGCCACCCAGGAGCCCCATAATATTCACCCTTTTAAAATACACAATTCAGTATATATACAAAGTTGTCGCATTTTTTTTTTTTAAGTGATGATTTGGTACTGGTTCTGACCAAGATGGAGTAACAAGGACCAGATTTATCTTCTCGCCTCAAACAACCACAAACCAGACAAAATGACAGACATCCATAGAACACACCCAACAACGGCAGAATACCCATTCTTTTTGTGTGCGTATGGACTATTTAGCCAGAGAGACCAAGTCCTGGGTCATAAAACAAGCCTCAATGAGTTTTAAATAATATACTGTATGTTCTCTGACACAATGAAAATAAAACAGAAGCCAATGACAGAAGGATCTCTGGAAAATTCCTAAATATACTTGAAAACTAAATGTTTCTAAATAACCTATGGGTCAAAGATGATCTCAAAAGGGAAATTAGAAAGTATTTTGAACTGAATGGAAATGAAGACACAACGTATTAGAATAGGTGGGATGCTGCTAAAGAAGTAGTTGGGGGAATTTGTAGCACCAAATGAATATCTTGGAAAAGAAGAAATGCTCCAGTCAGTGGCTTCAGCTTCCATTTTAAAAAGTTAGAGAAGAACAAATTAAATCCAAAGTAGGCAGACAAAAGGAAATAATGCAGGTAGGAGTGGAAATCAATGGAACCAAATGGGAAAAGTCAAAGGACTCAAAGCTAGTTCTCTTTTGAAAATCAATGGTATTGCTCCATCTCTAACCTGCCTGATTAGGGAAAAGGGGGAAGATACAAATTAACAATATCAGGAATGAGAGAGGCAACATCACTACAAACTCTACCGATACTAAGAAAATAGTAAGAGAATATCATGAACATCTTTATGTCAATAAATTTGGTAACTCTGAAGAACTGAACAACTTTTTGAAAGACACAAACTACCAAAACTCGCTGGAGAAGAAACAGATAACCTGAATAGCCCTACATTTATTAAAGGAATTGAATTTAAAGTTAAAAATTTTCTGACAAAGGAGACTCCAGCCTCAGATGTCCTCATAGGTGAATTCTACTAAACATTTAAGGAAGAAATAATACCAGTTTTGTTCAAACTCTTCCAGAAAACTGAAGAAGACAGCATACGTCTCAATTCATTCTGTAAAGCCAGCATTACTCAGACATGACAAGAAAACTACAGACTGATATAGCTCTCAAGAACATCAACACAAAAATTCTAAACAAAATTTTAGCAAATCAAAGCCAACAATATGTAAAAGGATAATACATCATGGCCAGGTGGGATTTATCCCAGGGATACAATGTGGGTTTAACATTAGAAAAATTAACGTGATTTGCCATATTGACATACTAAAAAAGAAATACCATCTGAGTATCTTAGTAGACACAGAAGAAGCATTTGACAAAAGCCAACATCCGTACCTCATAAAAATTCTCAGCAAACTAGAAATAGAAAGGAACTTCCCCAACCTGATAAAAGGAATGTATAAAAAACCTACAGCTAACATCATACTTAGTGCTGAAAGACTGAAAGAAAGCTTTCTCCTTAAGACCAAGAACAAGACAAGTATGTCTTTAGTCAGTAAAATAAGGCAAGAAAAAGAAACAGAAGCCATCCAGATCAGAAAGGAAGAAGTAAAACTATCTTTACTCACAGATGTGACCATCTCTGCAGAAAATCCAAAGGAATCTACAAAAAAGCCACTAGAACTAATAAATGAGTTTAGTAAGGTTGCAGGTTACAGTTAATATACAAAATGCTCCTGTATTTCTACATATTAGCAACAAAAATTGACAACTGAAATGAAAAACCAATACCATTTATAATACAGATTGTAGATATAAATCTGACAAAATATGTAAAAGACCTATGCAAGAAAATCTGCAAAAACAATTGATGAGAGAATTAGAGAAGACCTAAAAATATGGAGAAATACAGTGTTCATGGGTTAGAAGGCTCAACATTGTTAGGATGTGAATTCTTCTCAAGTCTATAGATCTACAGATTTAACATAATCTCAGTCAAAATCTGAAAGTTTTGAATTTAACTGATTCAAAAATTCATACAGAAATGCAAAGGACCTAGACGGGCCAAAGCAATGTTAAAAAAGAACAAAACTGGGGTTTTAATGGGACATGATTTTAGGACTTATTATAAGGCTACAGTTATCAAGACAATGTGGAATTGATGCTAAGAGAGATCAAACAGAATATATGGGCAACTAATTTTCATCAAAGGTACAAAGGCAATTCAGTGGAGAAAGGACAACCTTTTCAACAAATAGTGCTGGAATAGTTGCATCTCCATATACAAACGAACAAAATAAAACTAAACTAAACTTTGTTCCATACCTCACACCATATACAAAAGTTAACTCAAGCTGGATCATAAACCTAAACACAGAACCTAAAGCCATTAAACTGCTAGGAGAAAACCTCTGTGACCTTGGGTTAGGCAAGTATTTTAGACATGACACCAAAAGCACAATCCATAAAAGAACAAACTGATAAATGGGACTTCCTCAAAATTACAAACTCTAGTCTTTGAAAGACACTGTTAAGAGAATGAAAAACATGCCACAAATTGGAAGAAAAAACTTGCAAATCACATAGCTGACAGGGGACTTCTATCCCAGTGGCTTTCCAAGCTCCCCTCCTACAATGACAGTCTATCCCTAATGGTTCTTTGTTTAAGAGACAGTATAAAGTCCTAACCAGTAAGAATCTGGAGCTGTGGTTCTCTACTTTAACTTCACCTGGAAGGCTTGTTAAAACAGACTGCTGGGCTCCACCCTCAGAATTTCGGAATCAGTAGAGCCTGAGGGTTTTCATTTCTGATAAGCTCCCTGGTAATGTTTAGGCTGCTGGCCTGGATACCACAATTTGAGAACTGCTCATCTGGACCAATTTAGACTAAACTTGAAACAAAGTCAAATGCAAGATTTTCCCTCCAAGTGAAAATAAACTATGCTCACTAAAAAATAATTTATCCCCCACCTTCTTTTTTATTAGCTGGAGACATCTGTAAGTGCTAATCAGCGCTTCTGATCAGCAAGCAATAACAAACATGACATCACTGAGTTGGCATGATTCTAGCCTTGCCTCTTTGTTGAATACACATTTTGGTTTCCACAAAGCTGTTCAGAATTTACCCTGGAAAACATACACGGCCTTATACCAGCCATGTCACAATGACAACATGAAAGAAGCCATCCGGCCCCAGTGAAGCTCAACTTCCTTTGACCCTCCGTCTTCCCCCCCACC